GAGTTGCTGACTAATAATATCTTTCCGTGTAGTGAAAATAAACACGAGTTTATAGTGAAAAAACAGTTATATTAAATTTTTGTAACAGTGTTCTAGAACACTGTAGGAACAATGTTACTTCAAAATTCTGTAACTAATTTAGAACAAATGTTACATGTCTGTTATACAACAAATACAGAACAACTGTTCCAGAACAAATTTAGAACAAAGCTCTAGAACTGTTCTATAATAAAATTGTAACACTTATTCTAGAACATTGTTCTTTTATTGGTCTAGAACAGTTACAGTACGTGCACACTGGGAATACCAGACGGGAGGCGCATGCTTATTCCCGAAATCTTTTTTGACCAAATAGTTATTTGATATAAAACTACTTAACTTAAAATTCACATAATATGCACATTATTTGACATAAATTTCATTGTACACAAAAACCATTTAACATAAATATCATTTGTCATAGAATTCATTAAACAGAAATATTATGTTACATAAAACTCAGATAACTTAATTCCCATTTGACATAAAAATTATGTAACATAAATTTCTATTGACAAAAATCATTTAACATAAATTTCTTTTGACATAAAATTCATTTAACGTAAATTTTATTTGTTTTAAAATTCATTTGACATCAATTTCATTTGGCATAAATGTCATTTAACGTAATTCTCATTTGACATAAATATCATTAGACATAAAATTAGCTTGACATAAATTTCGTTTGACGTGAATATCATTTAACATAATTATTATTTAACGTAAAATTAAATTTATATAAATTTCATTTAGCATAAATGCCATTTAACATAATTCTCATTTGGCATAAAATTTACTTGACATAAATTTCATTTGGTATAAATCCCATTTAACATAATTTTCATTTGACATAAAGTTCACTTGATATGAATTTCATTTGACGGATAACTCATTACACATAATTCTCATTTGACATAAAATTCAGTTGTCATAGATTTTATTTTACATAAAGATCATTTGACATAGACATATAGGCGCGAATTTTAAAATTGGCGAATCACAATGTTGTTGATAATATCTAATTGGTTACTTTTCAAATTCGCGCCGATATTGTTATGTAAAATGTAATTTGTGTGAAATGATTTTTATGTCAAATGAGAATTTTGTTGAATGACTTTTATGACAAATGAAAATTGTGTTAAATGTCTTTTATGTCAAATGAACCTTATGTCCAATGAAAATTATGTTAAATGGGATTTATACCAAATGAAATTTATGTCAAGTAAATTTTATGCCAAATGAGAATTATGTTAAATGGAATTTATGCTAAATGAAATTTATATAAATTTAATTGTACGTTAAATAATAATTATGTTAAATGATATTCACGTCAAATGAAATTTATGTCAAGCTAATTTTATGTCTAATGATATTTATGTCAAATGAGAATTACGTTAAATGACATTTATGCCAAATGAAATTGATGTCAAATGAATTTTATAACAAATAAAATTTACGTTAAATGAATTTTATGTCAAAAGAAATTTATGTTAAATGATTTTTATGTCAATAGAAATTTATGTTACATAATTTTTATGTCAAATGGGAATTAAGTTATCTGAGTTTTATGTAACATAATATTTCTGTTTAATGAATTCTATGACAAATGGTATTTATGTTAAATGGTTTTTGTTTGCAATGAAATTTATGTCAAATAATGTGCATATTATGTGAATTTTAAGTTAAGTAGTTTTATGTCAAATAACTATTTGGTCAAAAAAGATTTCGGGAATAAGCATGCGTCTCACCAGGCGGGTATTAGTGACCCAGGTGCGATTTTTTGGTCGGCCCATAGTTGGGCCAACTTTTACAAAGTCGGACCAACTTCTCGTGCCAGAGGTTGGGCCAACCATACAGATGATAAAGGCGACCGTCTAATGGCGACGATGGTTGGCCCGACTACTCATAAGGAAGTTGGCCCAACTTACAATGCATATGTTGTGCCAACTATACATTTCAATGGTTTGTCCAAAGACTGACGCCAAAGTTGGCACAACTTTAGATGCGTAAGTTGGGCCAACCACAATTTTCAAAGTTTGGCCAACTTCAACAGCCAAAGGTAAAAAATTATTAAAAAACTACATTATTTAAACAATTAACACGTTATTATTAGCGGGAACATCAGATATAACCTTTACCTATTATTATTAAACACAATCTTATACATACATTTTCGAAAATATCTATCGCTCGCTGGGATCGAACCCCTAACCTAACGCACCGAAGACTTATACACTGACCACTACGCTACGCTCACATGGGAGTGCATAACGCAAAATGTATATTAAAGCTGCAACCGTCGGGCCAACCGTGGCCCAGAGTTCGGCCAACCAAGAAAGTTTAAGTCATTTAAACTGCGTTTCTAGAGTTTTGCCAACCGTTGGGCCAACCAAGAAAAATCAAGTCAATTAAACTGCGTTTCACAGAGTTTTGCCAACCGTTGGGCCAACCGTGGCCCAGAGTTCGGCCAACCAAGAAAGTTTAAGTCAATTAAACTGCGTTTCACATAGTTTTGCCAACCGTCGGGCCAACCGTGGCCCAGAGTTCGGCCAACCGAAACTGAAAGTCTTTTAAACTACGTTTGGATAAGTTGTGCCAACCTTTGTCGCCAAAGTTGGCCCGACGGTTGGTTAAACTCTGCATTTAATGGTTGGCTTGCAAAGTCGGGCCAACTGTGGGCACAAGTACTTGCCAAAGTTGGGCAAACTCTGGCAACCAAAACTTTGCTTGCCAAAGTTAGGCCAACCTTGGGCCAACCTTCAAACTCTGGCGGCCAACCTAAATTCGCACCTGGGTTATTTCGAAAAACAATTTTTTTTCAAAAATTTTAAAACAACTTTTTTCGGAAAAAATGGATAAAATGTTTTTTTTCGGGGATATGAATTCGGGAGAAGTGCATTCGGTAAAACAGTAGGGAAAGGCTTTTTGAAGAGTATACTCATGATTATCATTATCAAAGGGTATTTTAATTTCATTCAAACACTATATTTTAAAAGTAAATAATGATAAAAACAATAGCTGAAAATAGTTTCAAAAAAAATTGTTTTCTAAAAAGTTATTAACAATTTTATTTTTTAATACATTTTTCGAAAAAAATGAATTACTTGAAAACTAATCGACAGAATTTGATAAAATTTTAACCACCTACTTAAAAAATCTTTCTTTTTAAAACTCCAATTCTAGTTTTAAATTATCATGTAATTTGTTTAAATAATAATAAATTTTTATGAACAAATGAAAATGTAAGCATGTTCTTAATGAGATAATTAAATTTTCTTTACAGCATTTTATTCTACGTAAAATGTGGAACTATTACCAAAAAAAATTTTAAGGTCCGCATTTTATTTTAATTAACATTTTCAAAATTGACCCCTAATAACTAACAAATTGAAAACAATTCAACGCATTTAACGCGACAGTGCGACCGCCCACGAAACTGCACGCGCCATGTCTTTGTTACAGCGCGTAACAAAAATAGTTGTAATTTGTAAATTAAATGTGGGACCTAAAATTTTTTTTTTTGAATACTTTCAAATTCTACCTAGAATAAAATGCTGTAAAGAAAATTAAATTATTTCATTAAGAACAGGCTTCAAAAACCATTGGTACACTTTAGAAAGCCTTACCCAGTACGTACCAATTCGGGAAAATTATTCGGTATTTTTAATATTAGGGATTAAAATATTTAGATTTGCTATGAAAGCAATAAATAAAATGTAGAAAACAGAAAACAAATAATAGAAATAGAAAAATAGAAAACAAAATAAAAGTATCGCACAATTTAGGAATGATATAATGTGATAAATTTTATAAATTAATGTTTAATAAATGTTATAAACTAAATTAATTTTAAATTATAGTAATTTTTAAAGCGGTTTTATAAAATAAGAGTCCAAATTGAACTAAAAAATATGTTTAGATTTTCCCCTTTTTTTCCCCTATTTTGAATAAAAAATTCCCCTATTCCCCTTTTTTGAACTTATTTTGCACTGTGAAGCCTGCAACCGTGGCCCAGAGTTCGGCCAACCGAAACTGAAAGTCTTTTAAACTACGTTTGGATGAGTTGTGCCAACCTTTGTCGACAAAGTTGGCCCCACGGTTGGTTAAACTCTTTATTTAATGGTTGGCTTGCAAAGTCGGGCCAACTGTGGGCACAAGTACTTGCTAAAGTTGGGCAAACTCTGGCAACCAAAACTTCGCTTGCCAAAGTTAGGCCAACCTTAGGCCAACCTTCAAACTCTGGCGGCCAACCTAAATTCGCCCTGGGGAAAGAGCCAAAAGCGCTCAATGCTCTCCGACTGGTATTAGCGCGTGCGTCCGAGCGCAGTTCGAGTTATATCATGAGACCCTTCAATTAGAACCGATCGAGTGTAACATTTGTAGCATAGTAATTGAAATAATTATGCGTATAATAGGTAGAGGCTAAATTTTTGTTTTAAATTTTATCATCTTGTACTTATTTTACACTTATAAATACATTTATGCATTTACATTGTATTGGAATTATTTTCATTGAGCAGATAAATAATTTTTACTATTTCTGATGATAATAAAGTGTAACATCTAGATTGTATATTGTTGCAACGCTTGATAATCGCTAATTTTTTAAAATTAATACATTTGGTCATTGAAAAAAGACCTTGGGTATAATATACGGAGGCAGCAGTATTTTTATACACGCAAATATAATTAGAAATTAATATATAATCAGCTTTTTACTAGAAAAATTAATGTTATTGCGCATTTCTTAGTGTGCAGTATTTTGTTCTATATGTTAATAATAATTGTTATTTTGTATTATGAAGTACATTAAAAATTTGAATAATTTCTTGTTAAGGCAAGCAGATGTTTCTCAATACGCTCTTTTTCAACATTTTAAAGTATTTAACAAAATAATATGTGTGGAGCCGTAAAGTGGTTTACAATGAATGAAATGTTGAAAACTTCATGACATAGTAGCAGTATATTGCTTAATGAGTAAAAAAGTGAATGGCAGGACACAGCGATTCAGTCTCTTAGTAACTCCATCTAAAGCATCGTATATGTTAAAAAAATCATCTTTGTCATTTGGTTTAGTAGAAATGAAATGTGAAAATAAGAAATAATTAATAAACTTTCAGCAAAAGAGTTATTTTGGCACACAAAATTAATTTTGAAAAAATATCATTATTGTTTAAATTTATCTTGATGTTTATGTGTCACGTGAAAACAAAGACGTAAGTGTAATAATTATGATGAATAGTAAGTGTTGTGGAATGAATCAGGATTTATATATATGTATTATATGTCCTTCTTAATTTATATTTACGTAAGAATAAAATTTTCAAATAATAAAAATATGTTTATGCTTAAAATAATTTGTATTATAATTTTCAATTTTTTTAATGATTATGTTATATGTTATTATTTTTTGAGAATAAAAAAAATTATATTATGATTACTAAATACCAATCATATACCATCATAAACTCATTTATAAATACCGAGTAGTATAAACTTTACTACTTACAATGAAAAGTTATAAGAAAGATTTTTTTATTCTACTTTTAATAAGTAAACACATGTGCAAAAACAGATTTATTTTTTTATATGGAAAAAGATTTCAATTCTCCCGACGCACTTCATGCTTATACGTTAAGCTTCCATGCAAGATTTCAAAGCTTACAATATATATGGGCTTTCCTTAGGTTGTAGCATGTGAAATTTAATATAAATATTTTAATGTTTAATATTTATTTACTGTAATAATGAACATTGTATTTTTATTATTTTAAACATTATCGGTGATATTGGTTTCAGCATTATGGTCGAGGGGCGCATGAAAAGGCGCTAAAGTGGATTTGTTAGAATTTTTATTTCATAGAATTTTATTCTCTAGAATATAATTGTAGGAAAATATTTAATTCTTAGAACGTGAGCTTAGCAGAATTTCCATTAAATTGATTATCAATGTTGTAGAATTTTTATTCGTAAGAATAGTAATGGGTCACAAATTAAATATGATTAAACTTTAATTGTTGCGAAAAGTTGTTTGGCAGAATATAAATTAAACTGAATAGAAATTTAAAAGAATATTAATTTAGCAGAAAGAAAATCAGAAATAATTTTAATTTAGTAGAATATTTATTCGTCCGAATTATAATTTGGCAGAAAGTCAATTTGATGGAATTTCAATTTACCCAGAAATCTAATTTAACCGAATATCAATTTATGCGAATCGTTTTTTCGTAGAATTGTAATTTTACAGCAGCGTAATTAAATAGAATCTGAATATTGCCGAAAAACTTTTTGCTAGAAATCTACTTTATTAGAATATACATCTGTTCGAATATTAATTTGATAAAAATTCAACTTGGCCGAAAATCAAGAAACTTTTCGGCGCGAATTTTAAAATTTACCAATCACAATTTTCTTGATAATTTCTGATTCTTTTAAATTCCTATTCAGTTTAATTAAAATTCTGCGAAACAACTTTTTGCAATATTTAATTTGTGAATAAAAATTACGAATAAAAAATTTAAAACATTGATAATCGATTTAATGAAAATTCTGCCAAGCTCACATTCTAAGAATTAAATATTCTGCTACAATTATATTCTAGAGAATAAAATTCTATGAAATAAAAATTCTAACAATTCGACTTTAGGGCCTTTTCATGAATCCCATGCCTGATTACGAATCTCATATTATTTTTTTTTAATAAAATGGCGTATTCTATATGGCAGAAATACATAGGAAACAATATTTATTAGTTGCAGTAAAATAAATTATTATTATTAGAAAAATAAGTACCTAGATAGCACAAAAATTTTTACCAATTTTGCTGCATTAATTTTTAGCTATACCTTTTCGAGAGGAACGGCTTGCTCACTTTAAAGTAAACCTATTTTATACAAAAAAATTTTTTGAAATTTTTTTGGAAAATTTGCTGTAAAACTTTAACGCAGAGATATTTTGCAAGTTTTCTGCAAGTCTAAATTTATGAAATTGTAAACCAATTTTATAAAATCTTAGAGCCCTTGCACTGTAATATCGCAACCGCATAGTCAAATGCTTAATATAACTACTGAGCAGCCTTCACAGTCTAAGCAAAATTTAGTTTTAAGTAAAGAAAAACTAATATTACACTTTATTGCACTAAGGTTATTTTTTCGATACACTCGTATTCGTGACAATTTTTTGTGATTTAACAGTATAAGTCGGGGGATTTTCGTTATCCGCGGATTCGGTATATTCTTTGCATAAAAAATTGTTTTTCTCTTATACATATGTCGACTTTTCCTATTCGCCGAATTAATGCGTAATCGTTATCACTTTCGGCTTCTTTCCATTACATTCAGGTTGACTTTTTTGTAGGCACTAGCTGACGTATTCCATGATAATTTTTTTGTGTTTAACAGTAACTCCGGTGGTCTCTGTTATCTGATGGTTCGGTATTTCATGCATAAAAAATTGTTTTTCTCTTGCACGTGTGTCCTTTTTTTCTATTCGCCAAATTGATGCGTAATCGTTATTACTTTCGCCTTCTTTACATTTGTTTAATATTGTCTTTCTTTCTTGAATTCGTAAATTTATACGTTCAATTTTTTTACAGAAAATTCAATAATAGAATATACGTTTTAACATTACTTCCGAGGAAAGATGATTAAATACAATAATAATTTGTACTATTAAGCATATTAATTAGAAGTTTCGGATGTAACAAATATTTAAATTAAACTTAGGTTTTTTTATATAAATACTTAACTAAATTACAAGTTCTAAATATTAATATTTTGACCACTTACTGAAATGAGCTTGCAAGATTAGATATTCTTGCAAGTTTTTAAAAATAAAAAAATATATTTCTAAATAGGGTTTTAATTATTATCAGAAAAATTTTTTGTTTCTATTTATTAATTTTTCCATACGATCAATTGTAGGAGACAGAAATTTTTAAAATCTTATGTTTCGATAAAAATGTTAAACTTTAACTCGCTGTAACCAGACAACCCGCTATTATCAATTAACCACAGGTGTCTGGAAGGAAAAAAAAGTTTGCCTAGGATGCCAAAAAAATTCATTGTTACCCTCTGGTTCCTTAGCACCCCCTGAAAAGAGAAAATTTAACCCGAAAATCGTAGCTGTTCATTTATGGAAAAATCACCCCTTTATAGGGGTGATTTGGAATTTTTTTCAGAAAAAATTGTTTTTAAGGAGCAAAAAAAAAAAAAAAAAAAAATTGTTTTGGCTACCTGCTATGCAACAAGCCATGTAACCAACAAAAAAAAAAGGAGCAAAAATAATTTTAAAATTATTTTGATAATTGTTATTTATGTGTGTGTTCACAGGGTTTAATTTTCTAGATACAATCGATTAAAAAGTTTTTTAAAAACAAAAAATTCAAATTTTTAACTTTTCTTTTAGTTAGTTAACGATTTTTGATAACATCTCCAATTTCACGTCAGATTTCAGTTCACATTCTAAAATTTATCCAAAACAATTTTTTTTAATTCTTTAGTGAAAAAAAATGGATACATATTTTTTTTTGGTGGCAAAATTTCCGAGTTACGAATTTTTAAAAAATTAGATTTTTGAAAAGTAGACTTTTTTCAATGGCCTACAACTTGAAAATTATTGGATTTACAAAAATTTCGTTAAGACAAAAAAGTTCAGCTATTCTTCAACTTTTAAATGCTGTTACAAAAAACTTTTTTTTTAAATTTTTCTTAAAAAAATAAAAAAAACTTTAAAACAAATTATTTTTTTTTAAATTTGGACGTTTTAAAAAAAATTTTTTTAACATAGGTGGCAATGATAAGAATGGTTTGCAAAATGTTTCAGAGTGTTCTTCTTGAATTTGATGTGTTAAAATAAATTTTTAATTTTGTCGTGCAACTTTTACGCGCGCTGCACTGTGCACGTTTTTTGAGAAAATTAAAATTTTTCAAAATCCATACGATTGATTATTCATTATTTTAAGAAAAGCATACAAAGAATTTGGCAACGAAAAATAATAAAAAATGTGGAATTAGTTGAATTTTTTAAAAACTACTAGTAAGATTTGAGCCATTCAAAAATGACCATTTTTAGGGGTATCAAATTTTTTTTTACATTTTTAGTACCTGAAATCATATTACACTATAGAAGATTAATAAAAGTAATTTTTAATGAAAGTTATTAAAAATTACGAGTTTTTTAAATTTTTTTAAGAAAAATTAAAAAAAAAGTTTTTTGTAACAGCATTTAAAAGTTGAAGAATAACTGAACTTTTTTGTCTTAACGAAATTTTTGTAAATCCAATAATTTTCAAGTTGTAGGCCATTGAAAAAAGTCTACTTTTCAAAAATCAAATTTTCAAAAATTCGTAACTCGGAAATTTTGCCACAAAAAAAAATATGTATCCATTTTTTTTCACTAAAGAATTAAAAAAAATCGTTTTGGACAAATTTTAGAATGTGAACTGAAATCTGACGTGAAATTGGAGATGTTATCAAAAATCGTTAACTAACTATGTAAAAGAAAAGTTAAAAATTTAAATTTTTGTTTTTAAAAAACTTTTTAATCGATTGTATTTAGAAAATTAAACCCTGTGAACACACACATAAATAACAATTATCAAAATAATTTTAAAATTATTTTTGCTCCTTAAAAACAATTTTTTCTGAAAAAAATTCCAAATCACCCCTATAAAGGGGTGATTTTTCCATAAATGAACAGCTACGATTTTCGGGTTAAGGTTTCTCTTTTCAGGGGGTGCTAAGGAACCAGAGGGTAACAATGAATTTTTTTGGCATCGTAGGCAAACTTTTTTTTCCTTCCAGACACCTGTGTAACCCCTTCGCAGTCAATCAAGACCAAAATCTCATAAGTGGGCTCAAAATGTCGACAACTTTTTAAAAAACAAAAATTTGCGCAAACGAGCATACTATTGTATTTGAAGTCGCTGATTACGAATCCGATATCAGATTTTGAAAATTCAAAATGGCGGATCCAACATGGCTGACAACATTTTCTAAAATTCATCGGATTCACTTGAAACTTTTTAAAACTTGGGGGTTTTCAGGGTCGCTGATTACGAAACCGATTTCAGATTTTAAAAATTCAAAATAGCGGATCCAATATGGCGAAGAAAATTTTCTAAAATTCATCGGATTCATTTGAAACTCGTTACTAAAGGGTTTTCGCTGATTACGAAAAACTTTTGAAACGATAATAAATACAAAATTTCCCCCCG